CTAGAGGACAATGCAGATGTCATCTGTAGAAGGGCGTCACCCAGGGGGGACAGTTGGCCTGTCCAAGATCAGCTGCTGCTTTAGAACACCGAGAATTTTATTGTGTTCTTCTGCTTTGATTTCTTCGTTTTAACTTGATATACCACCGACGATGGAAAATTCGGACAAGAAAAGCCATGTTAACACCTAGGCATTGCGTGCGGTTAAAATAGCAATTAAAATAAACAAGGAATACAAATAGAATTAATAATTAAAATTTGGAATCAGCAATTAAATGCCTGTAGAAAAAAATATGTGCTTTCAAGACCTAACGAAGAGGCTATTCTGGAGGGAGTATCTTCCAAAGAGCTGGATCAAGATAGGGGAAGCTTGATCTGGATTGGGCACCAGGCAAGCATGCAGCAACTATGGGAATACTTTTAGCTAGTTACCTAGGTGGGGAATGAAACAGACCAACCAAGCTCAGAGAACACCAAGGACCCCACAATCCTCCTCCTTCTCCTCTCCTCTCCTCCTCCTCTTCCTCCTCCTCCTCATCCCAAACCTTACTACCTTCTAGCACTGATGATGTTGCCTTGTCTGGTAATGAAATGTCTGCAAGAAAACAACCAAGCTCAGAGAATGCCAAGGACCCCACAATCATCTTCCTCCTCCTCCTCTACTTCACAAACCTCATTCCCTTCTAGTACTGATGATATTGCCTTGACTGCTAATGAAACATCTGCAACAAAACAATCAAGCTCAGAGAGCACCAAGGACTTCACAATCCTCTTCTTCTTCCTCCTCCTCCTCTTCCTCCTCCTCCTCCTCCTCCTCTTTGCAAACCTCACTGCCTTCTAGCACTGATCTGCTAATTGCTTGTCTGCTAATGAAATGTCTGCAAGAAAGCCGCCAAGCTCAGACAGCACCATAGACCTAACAGTTCAGTCCTAACCTACAGATGTTCTCCTCTATCCACACCTTCTCTAGCAGGCCATTCCCCGTGCAATGGTGATGGTATGATGGTTGAAATAGCATCACGTTGTGGTGACACGAGCTTCACCCCATTAGTACTCCTGGTAAGCTGTATCTTATTTTTCCAGTTGCAAAGACAAGTTTTCGATGTCATGGAAAACACCAAGGAGATTGCAACAAAAGGCTTACAGGCTTTGTGTTTGCACCATTTCTGGGTGGTTCTGCCAGGCCACTTTTGGGTTGACTAATGTGACGCTACAAAATCTGGGCACTTGTTTGTTGGGGAGGCCCTGGAATGCAGCCTCAGCTTGGCTTCTGCATGGTCACATTTGTGGCTTCCTTGGGAGAAATGTGCACAACACACAACAGCTACTCAATAGTTGGGACGGTTAAACTCTTGATAAAATTTCCTCCCTCCCTTCCTTTTATCCTTCCAACCTATCTACTTACCTACACAAAAACCTAGGGGTTGGCCTAAGTAGCCTAGATGGAGGGATACAAGCAATGGGGTATCCTAAAGTTTTGCTTTAGGCCAAGGACTCTTCAATATCTTCATAAACAATTTAAGTGAAGGGATGGAAGAGGAACCCATCAAATTTGCAGAACAATACCAAGCTCGTAGGAATAGCCAACACCCAAGAGATGGATCTTGATAGATTCAAACACTGGTCCCTATCTAACAAATGAAATTCAGTGGGGAGAAAAGTAAGGTTTTACATTTAGGCATGGAAAAAAACAAGTGTGTAGGTCAGATTAGGTTAAACCTGGCTCAATAACAGTAACTGCAAGAGGGATCTCAGGGTCCTAGTGGGCAATCACTTAAATATGAGCCAACAGTGTGCTGCAGCCACCAAAACAGCGAATGCAATCCTAGGCTGCATTAACAGAGGGATAGCATCAAGATCATATGAAGTGTCGGTACTGTTTTATAAGCCTTGGTAAGACAACATCAAGAATACTGTATCCAGTTTTGGTTGTACGGTGTAAAAAAGATGTTGAGGCTCTTGGAAAGAGTGCAGAGAAGAGCAACAAAGATGATTTAGATGGAGGCTAAAACATATAAAGAACGGTTGCAGGAACTGGGCATGGCTAGACTACTGAAGGGACGTGATGGCTCAAAAGCTTGTCGATCAGAAAGGTTAGCAATTTGGCAGTTTGAATCCCTAGCACCGCATGTAAGAGAGTGAGCTCCTGTTACTTGTCCCAGCTTCTGCCAATCTAGCAGTTGTATTTTTATACAAACCTACCATTTGTGTTTTTGTGGCTTGGAAGTTTTGTGGCTTGGAGAACTGTCAGTTATGAAGCAGGGCTGATCTTTAAATACGCAGCTGTTTTGCTTCTGGTAAAAGAATGAAGTGGGTGAATGTTAAACGCAAGATTCCTTTTGTATCTTGGCCCTGCTATCCCGATGGGAGAAGTTTCAGTGCATGCACAGAGTGTATTTATCTCTGGGGAAGAAGCTGCTGAACTGTAGCTGTTTGATTAAAATATTTAAAATAGTTAAGTGTCCAGTTCTGGTCAACACAACACACAAAAAAAGATGCTAAGACCCTAGAAAGTGTGCAGAGAAGAGCAAGAAAGATGATTAGGAGGCTGCAGGCTAAAACGTAAGTTGCAGGAATTGGCTATGGTGGTTCAGTGGCTAAGACGCTGAGCTTGTAGATCAGAAAGGTCGGCAGGTTGGCGGTTCGAATCCCTAGCACTACATAACGGAGTGAGCTCCCGTTCCTTGTCCCAGCTTCTGCCAACCTAGCAGTTTGAAACCATGTAAAAAATGCAAGTAGAAAACCTTTGGTGGGAAGGTAAGAGAATTACGTGCACCTTCGGTGTTTAGTCCTGCCGGCCACATGACCACGGAGACGTCTTTGGACAGTGCTGGCTCTTCGGCTTTGAAACGGAGATGAGCACCGCCCCCTAGAGCCGGAAACGACTGGCACGTATGCGCCAGGGGAACCTTTACCTATAGTGAGAAGAAGGACTAGATGGGACACGATAGCAGTCTTCCAGTATTTGAGGGGCTGCCACAGAGAAGAGGGGATCAACCTATGCTCCAAAGCATCTGAAGGCAGGAAAAGAAGCAATGGATGGAAACTAATCAAGGAGAGGAACAGCCTAGAACTAAGGAGAAATTTCCTAATAGTAAGAACAATTAATTAATGGAACCATTTGCCTTCAGTAGTTGTGGGTGCCCCATCACTGGAGGCTTTTAAGGAGAGACTGGAAAGCCACTTGTCTAGAATAGTATGGGGTCTCCTGCTTGAGCAGGGGGGGTTGGACTAGACGACCTCCAAGGTCCCTTCCAACTCTGTTATGTTGTTATTCTGTTACGAGAAAACCCTCACATTCTATGTTCATTTCATTGAGCAATTCAGGGAGAAAGTGAGTAATTATCCCGTTGTAAGTCTTATCTTTCCTGTAATGTTGAATTCTTCCGTTTCAGAGTCAGTAACACATTATTCTGACTTCTATTTATTTTTCCTTCTTTAGATGACATTTAATTGGGGACTGCTCTTATCTGAACAGGTGCTCGAGAAATATTTGGGCAAATAATTAAACAAGCCTTTTAATGCTAAAATGTCTTGCAACTATTTTATTTTATTTCTAGCTATGGACTACCAACCATCCTTTAGACCAGATTAGCATTATGTCCCAACAGTATTGCACAGCAGACTTTGGGATATTTTTGTTTGTTTGTTTGTTTACTATATTAATTAAACTGATTGGCCGCCCATCTTACCACAGGGTAACTCTGGGCAGCTTACAATATTAAAAATATAAAACTATATAAATAGAATTCTTCTTCTTCTGTGCCCAGATCAAACTTTAAACTGCCAGAAAGAAGCAACAAATAAGTTGTTATTGGTACATATTTCTGGTAGTAGCCGACATACCAGTGTCTCTCCCTATTTACACAGCATATTGTTATCTGCTAACAGCCTCCACTTCAGCATATTGGTTTTACACTTAGGTGCTACAACTCTCAACTTATCCAGGGTCCTCCAAGTAGTATAAGGGAGGTCAAATCAGGATGATACCTGAAAGTTATAGTAAAGAAAAAACGTATTTAATCATTCATATATTAATTGCAGCTAGAATAGTATTTTCTCAAAATTGGAAAAGTGAAAAGGTTCCAATCGAAGAGAACTTGATCAGGAAAATATTAGAATGTGCAGAAATGAACAGATTAATGCTGGCAATTAAAGAAAAAGAACAAATTGAATATTGTATGATATGGGAATTATTTCGTCAATGGTTAAATAAAAATGGAAGTTAGAAATTAAATATAAGAATATAGAGGAGAAGGAGTTAAGAAGGGGGTGGTTATAACAATAAGAAATATCATGCGTAGTAAGTTAAAATAAGAATGTAATTATTGTTGTTATGGTAAGTAATTTGTATTAATTAGAAACATTATCGCACAAGATATTTGTACCCAGACGACACACTGTTTAAATGAAAGATGGAATGTTTGTAAAATAAAATGAAATATTTTTTTTTTAAAGGGAGGTTAGATCCTTCGGCCATATCCTCTTTTAATATTATTCCTTATATGATGTTGTTCCTTAAATAAATAATATATGACAAAGATACTTCTTTTTACGACCCTGTAATTCCTTAATTTGGGGTACAGTCAGGGTGACTGAATGGAGCTGAGCGTTTACTGGCCGGATGCCCTTCCCGAGGCCTATGCAGAGTTCACAGCAGATTTTTTTTTTCTTTGTGCCCTGAGAGAGAAACATCTGTCGCTTTTAGGATTGAACTCTCAACCTTCTGAGTGGGAGGTGAGCATCTTCACTTCTAGGCCATCATTCCACTCTACAGAGATACTATATACTTACAAAGATATAACTCTGCAAAGTACATTTGGGGATTTGGGCTTCCCAGCTCTTGCTGAAGGACAATTCCCAGCATCAGCCACCCATCACTGATCAGGCTGTCCGGGCTTTGACTGATGGGAGTTGTAAATCAGTAACAGATGAATCGCAATCCGTTTCCCCGGGATCCAAATTTCAAACACTCAGACTAGATCTGTTTTGTTTTTTCAGGGAGAGATCTGCTCGGTTACGTGCCCTCCCGGGAGCTATGGAATCAATTGCTCTTTGGTCTGCAACTGCAAAAATGATGGCATGTGTTCCCCGGGAGATGGCTCCTGCTTCTGCAGAGAAGGTACAATTTCCAGTTTCAACCGCTATTGTGCACTGGTGTCCATCATGCTTTCACTCAGAATGGTCCGGGTCTGTTGTAGTTTGCCGGCAGCCTGCGCAGACGGCAGCGGAATCGGACAGTGGGGAAGAACAGAGGCTGGTCCGGGAGTCTGGGGAGGACTCGGATGAGGGTCCTGCATCTGATGCAGAGATGGGGCCAGGACCATCTGGGAGTGGGGTGCTGACTCCGGAGCCTTCGGAGTCTGGCAGCAGCAAGGCAGAGGACCCAGGGGAGCCTGTTCCCAGGGCGTGTGTGCACAGAGCTGCTAGAAGGCTTTAGGGGCATAATACCCCTAAAGTAAGATATCTGACCATCCACTTATTGACAGTGGCATGGATTTCATTAGCACAATATTGGAAGAATCCAAGTGTACCACTAATACTGTAATCCACACATCTTGTTACTCCCCTCAAAAATGTATTTATTTTCAAAGAGAGAGGGCACACAGCCATGGTTAATAGTTTACCTAATGTTCTTTGTCTCTTTGATTTTACAGGCTGGCAGGGAACCGACTGTTCCATTCCATGCCCGAGCAACACGTGGGGTCTGAATTGCAACCAGACATGTTATTGTGCCAATGGAGCTGCCTGTGACCCTGTGGATGGATCTTGCCTTTGTGGTCCTGGGTGGCAAGGAGAAATCTGTGACCAGCCCTGCCCTGTAAGTCTTCCTTGAGTTGGAGAGATTTGCTGTTTTCATGGGAAATCCTGTTGTGGCCTGCTGGAGCTGGCAGCAGAGTCAGACAGTGAGGAGGTTGGGGAGGAACATGGGCCAGTCCTGGAGACTGAGGAAGGCTCAGATGAGGGCTCTGCATCAGAGGCAGAGTTGGGGCCAGGGCAGCTGGCAGTCATCAGCTGCCTTCGGGCTCGGACAGCAGTGAGGCAGGGGAGCTTCTGGAACCGATTCCCAGCGTGTGCATGCGCAGAGCTGCCAAAAGAAAAGAACAATTACGAACTAAGGGTCGACATGGGAGTAAAGCCACAGGTGGCCCCTCCATAGGGATTAAAAGGGGAGCAAAAGGGGAGGGAGCTTTTGCAGGAAACAATTCCGTCATTGCAGCCGTGTGAAAATCTGTCTGTGCATCTCAGAGACTCTGTGCCGAGTCCTTCCTTGTCAGCACTGCGTTTGGAAATATTTACTTGGCAGCTCTCCAGGCTAGATGAGGGCTGTGCTCCTAATTACACCCTTGAAAGACCGTTTGCCAGGCCTTTGGCTGAATGTGAATGGAAGAAATTCACCTTCGTTTAATAAAAGGGGTTTTGCCAGGGCAAAGAGTTGGCTTAGTGCTTTTTGGGGACGCCGAGGTCAAAACAAATCCAGGCTTAGATCAGGGAGATAAATGTAATGTTTTCACTACATGTATTTTGAAATCAGTCCGAATAACAGAGTTATTCGAGGGACCTTGAAGGTCTTCTAGCCCTATCCACTGCTGTTCTTTAACCACTGTAATTCAAGAATCTAGTGTGAAAAGGGAAACTCAAAAGAAGCTACAAAAGTGCCTAGGCTAGGTGAGAACTCCAGCGATCGGGGACCAAGTAGCTGATGATTGTCCCATCTTTAAAGTTGGCGAGAGTGAATGGTGTTCAGGTTCTCTCCAACGTTGGTGGGAAGAAGGATCAATCCACTGAACGAACGAACAGAACCACTGAGTTGGAAGGGATCTTAGAGGTCTTCTAGTCCAACTGGTGGGCCGCTAGAAAATTTTGGTGGGCCTCAGAGAAATCTCACCCTCAGAGCCCCCCCCCCCCCCCCCCGAGCAATTAATCCAGGCTGCACAGGAACACAAGGCTGCGCCACCCACATTGCCCGCGGGAACCCTCCCCTCCCACTCACTCCTTACCCGGCAAACTTGCCTGCTAAATTGCTATTTTTCCTTTTTCTGACCATCATCTGTTCTGCTGTGCCGGGAGATTTAGATTAGCTAGGAAGCAGGAAATGGTTGGATTTCTTGCTTTCTAGCTAGTCTTTAGATCTTTGGCTCTGCTTTTAAGCACAGCCGAACCTCCCTTAGGACGGAAGGTTCTATTATTCAGTGCAGACTCACTGCAAGCAAATTTTATGCGACTGAGATAGCCGATGGCAGATAAATAGATCACTGAATGATCCAAAATGCCCCAAAAGGTTGGTGACCCCTGTTCTAGTCCAATCCCCTGCTCAAGCAGGAGAGACCCTTTACCATTTCAGATAAAAGTTGTCTTCTTAAAAACCTTCAATGCTGGACCACCCACAACTTCTGGAGCAAGCTGTACCACTATTTTATTGTTCTAACTGTCAGGAAATTCTTCCTTGGTTCTAGATTGCTTTTCTCCTGAGTTTAGTTTCCATCCATTTTGTTCTTGTCTTGCCTTCTGGTGCTTTGGAAAGTAGTCTGACTCCCTCTTCTCTGTGGCAGCCCCTGAAATATTGGAACACTAATGTGTAGACTCCAGGGAGCTATTATCACAGGTGGCTTTGACCGATTAGATATGCATGCATGCCTGTATGTATGTATGTGCTTATTTATTAAATTTGTTTGTCGCCCATCTCGCAGCAGTGACTGTGGGCAGCTTACAATCACTAAAAGCAATTAAACAATAGAGACACATATATCCAACTGTAATAAAAATGCAAAATGCAGTTTCTGACTAAAAGATAGGGAGGGGAGGAGTAGGATGAGCCAGAGGGGGGGAGGAGGGATCTGCCATTGGTCCATCAACAACCCCCCCCCCCGTGTGAAACTCCCCCGTTGGGACCCCAAGCCAGCTGGCAGAGTCTTAATTAAGATCTTAATTAAATTAAGATCTTAATTTGTTTTGGGTCTTTTTTTGGTTCCAAGTTAGCTAAACTGGTAACAACCACCACTTCTTGTACGACAGAATTGTGCCAATTAGCTCCAGACAGATTAAGCAAAGAAACCAGCCATCAAGATTTTCTGGGATTCAGGCAGAAACATTACACCTGATTTAAACATGTACGTTTAAATCTGCAACTGTAATTGCAGGTAGTCCTCAAATTGCAATAGTTCACTTAGTGACCATTCAAAGTTTTGACAGTATACTGCAAAAAAGTGACTGATGACCATTTTTTCACACTTGTGACCATTGCAGCATCCCCATGGTCACGGGATTTACATTCAGATGCTTGGCAATTGACTCACATTTATGACGGTTTGCAGAGTCCTGGGGTCATGTCATCCCCTTTTGTGACATTCTGACATAAAAGATTCACTTAACAATGCTGTTACAGTTGAACAACTGCAGTGATCCACTTAACAAATGTGGCAAGAGATGTCATAAAATGGGACAAACTCACTGAACAAATTTCTCACTTAGCAACATAAATTTTGGACTCAATTATGGTTGTAAGTTGAGGAATAAGTGGAGGAATGTACGAGATTGGACTGCCATTTGTCAGAAATGATGTAGGGTTTCCTGCTTGGGTGGGGGGGGTGGACTAATGACCTTCAAGATCCTTTCCAACTCTGTTAATCTGTTAGAGCAGTGATCCCCAACCTTTTTGACGCCGCGGCCCGGTACCGGCATCAGCTGGGCGCCGCGGCCCGGTACCGGCATCAACTGGGCGCCGCCATCTTTTTTTGACGAAAAAGTGCTTCCGGTGACCTCACCGGAAGCACTTTTTCGTCAAAAAAGATGGCGCCAGCGCTTCCGGTGAGCTTTTTCAGGTAGAAATGGCTTTCTACCCGGAAAAGCTCACCGGAAGCGCTAGCGCCGCCATCTTTTTTTGATGAAAAAGTGCTTCCGGTGAGCTTTCTACCCGGAAAAGCTCACCAGAAGCACTTTTTTACCAAAAAAAGATGGCGGCGCCCAGCAACCTGCGGCCCGGTAAGACTTGTTCCGCGGACCGGTACCGGTCCGCGGACCGGCGGTTGGGGATCCCTGTGTTAGAGTACCTGTATATGTTGTATATCTGAGACGCTGTGGCTCAGTGACTAAGATGCTGAGCTTTTCGATCAGAAAGGTCGGCAGTTCGGTGGTTCGAATCCCTAGCGCCACGTAACAGAGTGAGCTCCAGTTACTTGTCCCAGCTTCTGCCAACCTAGCAGTTCAAAAGCACGTAGAAAAGATGCAAGTAGGAAAATAGGGACCCCTTTGGTGGGAAGGGAACAGCGTCCCGTGCACCTTCTGCATTTAGTCATGCCGGCCACATGACCACGGAGACGTCTTCAGACAGCGCTGGCTCTTCGGCTTTGTAACAGAGATTAGCACCGCCCTCTAGAGCCAGAAACAATTAGCATGGATGTGCGAGGGGAACCTTTACCTTTATCTTTATATGTTGTATAGTTGGAATAACTTTGTCTCGGTAGATTCCTGCATCCACCTATCCTCATTTGTTCTTCTTTTTCTTCTTCTTCTTCTTTTTTTCGTTGGTTAATGGAAGGATGGGACGTACGGCCTGAACTGCAGCGAACGTTGTGATTGTGACCACGCCGATGGCTGTGATCCTTTGACTGGCTATTGCTGCTGCCTTGCTGGCTGGACAGGTAACATGGCATGCAATCAAATGTTTCACTTTGGAGCTCAGTTAGATGCTGCCATTTCTTCATCCTTTGCTTTAAATTAGGAAATAGAAAATAGAAATAGAATTCTTTTATTGGCCAAGTGTGATTGGACACACAAGGAATGCTATAGAGCATTGCACATCAGAACAACTAGACACAAGGACAGTTTTTCCCCCAACGCCATCACTCTGCTAAACAACTCATTCCCTCAACAATGTTTACAAAGTTTGCATTACTATTCCTATTAACCTTCTCATCACTCCTTATCGCCCATCCCCTCCCATTTGTGACTGGATGACTGTAACTTTGTCGCTTGTATCCTAATGATTTATATTGACTGTTTCCTAGTATGATTTGATTGCTTATTGTACTCTATGACTATTATTAAGTGTTGTACCTGATGATTCTTGACTCTTGACGAATGTATCTTTTCTTTTATGTACCCTGAGAGCATTTGCACCAAGACAAATTCCTTGTGTGCCCAATCACACTTGGCCAATATTCTATTCTATTCTATTTTTACAAACAAACTTTGTTTCCTCAGCATGGAGAAGTATTCAAGCTTACATTTCCTATTTCCTTCCCTCTGCAGTGGTGCAGCACGAGCAGCTCATGATATTGTTCAACAAATATTTACTTTGATTCTAAAATTCGCCCACCTGTGTGTGGGGGTTTGTTTTTTTGGGAGGAGGGGGGATAAATCAAATAACTTAAAAGGCAGATGCAAATGGTTTCTCATTTAGCTTTCCCTGTTTGCAAAGTTTTACAATCAAAGAACTTTTCTGGTTTGTGGTTGCTAATCACGTGGATTAAAAAAAAATCAGAGTTGGATGTTTGATTTTAGTATTTGCTGTTTGAACTTGAGGGCTAGGTCCTCCTGTCCATTTTATCAATTAGAGCCTCATAAATTTTGAGGCATGGATTTCTCGGAGGGAAAAAGTGGAAGGCATTTGAAATGGTCCCGAATTTCAAAACTAATTAGACATGGCCTAGAAAAGATCAAAAAAAGTCCTGGAGTGTGGAGGCCCATGCTTGTGGGATGAGGACAATTTGGGTCTTCTCTGATCGAAGTGGCTAATGAAAATCTGATCTTAAAAAAAGTTATTCTGTATGTTCATTTTCACACGTGGGACTTCCATTGATGTCAGTTCTGCTCCGCAGATAAAGAGAAATAACTGCACGGTTTGAAAAGCAGGTTCTCAAGATGTTGTTCATTTTTAAAAAAAAGCCCTCGGAGGGGAAATAATATGAATGAAGTGAGCAGGGAATAAAAAGAAAGAAAGAAGGCCTGAAGGAGAGTTGTGGGCTTGTGTCTCATACGCTATTTCCATGTTCGGCTTTTCAGTGAAGTCCACCACATCCCTCCCTATTGTTGAGCCAAGTCACAAGAGATTGTAATCACATCTGTGGCAGTGGTGGGATTCAAATTTTTTTTTACTACCATTTCTGTAGGCGTGGCTTGGTGGGCATGGTGTTGTTTGGTGGGCGTGGCTTGGGGGGGCGTGGCAGGGGAAGGATACTGCAAAATCCCCCTTCCCTCCCCACCCCACTAACCTGCTTTCCAGCTCCGTTCTCCTGTGTAGGGCAACCAAAAAAGACCCAGCCAATCAGCTGGGACTCAATGGGAGGCAGAGAAGAGATGGGGTTGGCGGGCCAGTCAGAGGTGGGATTTCCCAGTTCTTCAAAACTACTCAAAATTTCTGCTACCGGTTCTCCAGAACTGGTCAGAACCGGCTGAAGACCAGCTCTGATCTGTGGGCAGAGGCGAGGATTGGTAGCTAGTTTACACAATACCAAAACTAATTTAATTTTTTGAATTTTTTATTTAATTTTTCATTTAATTATTTTATTTTAATTAAATAAAAAATTATTTTTTTATTTAATTAAAATTAATTTTTAATTTAAAAACTTAAGCTAGTTGAGTTTTTAACCGCACCAACATGCCTACCGTCCCTGTCCTAATGTTCCTTTTTATTCGTACCCATTTCATATATTCATAATCACGTTTATACTTATACCTGTTATCTAATTCTTGCATGACAAATAAAATAAATAAATAAACATGCTTCATGTAAGCCAGGAGTGTCAAACTCATTTTCATTGAGGGCCGCATCAGGGTTGTAGCTGACTTCAGGGGGGGCGGGTGCGCATGGCCGACTGGGTGGGTGTGGCCAGCTGAGTGGGTGTGGCCAATTGAGTGGGTGTGGCCATCTTGACGCCATTCCCCAAACTGCTGGCATGTTTCCTCTTCGCATTGGGTAGATCGAGCCGAAGCTACACTGGCCCGATCTTTCCTCTTTGCATTGGGTAGACCAGGACGACCCCATGGGCTGGATCCAACCACATTGCAGGCCTTGAATTGGACACCCTTGATGTAAGGACTGAGTAAACCCAATTTGGAGGGTTGGAAAAGATGTCGGACAATCGGGTAACAGATGGTTGCATTGAGCAACCCAGTGAAGCACACATTAAAAAAACCCTCCAAATTCCAGTTAAACTGAATTAAGGATAGTAAGTTTATGGTGCATTGGTTTGGACCAGAGGTGGTATTCAGCAGGTTCTGACCAGTTCTGGAGAACCCGTAGCAGAAATTTGGAGTAGTTCGGAGAACTGGCAAGTATCACCTCTGACTAGCCCCGCCCCCTTCTATTCTCCGCCTCCCATTGAGTCCCAGCTGATCGGCTGGGTTTTCTTTTGTTGCCCTGAACAGGAGAACGGAGCTGGAAAGCAGGTTAGTGGGGTGGGGAGGGAAGGGGGATTTTGCAGTATCCTTCCCCTGCCACACCCACTAAGTCATGCCCACCAAGCCAAGCCCACAGAACTGGTGGTAAAAAAAAAAAATTTGAATACCACCACTTTAAGCATGATATGGCTTGTGTAAATCAAGCCAATGTGTGGCTTCAGGGATATCCGCGGGGAGGTGTGGTGAAAAAAAGTCTAGCTGAACTTCTTCAGCCCTTTGTCCAGTAGCTTTTCCTCTAACCTACCCAGACGGAGCTTCAATCATGGCTGTGAAGTTGAAAAAGATGCTCCGTGATTGGATGAGGGGAGATGCTCGTCTGTCACAAGAGCATACAAAACATTTGCTAGACCAATACTCGAATACAGTTCATCAGTCTGGAACCCACATTACGTATCTAATATTAGCACAATTGAGAAAGTCCAGAAATATTTCACAAGAAGAGTTCTCCACTCCTCTACTCGTTGTAGAATACCTTATGCCACCAGACTTGAAATTCTAGAACTAGAAAACCTTGAATTACGCCGTCTTCGGTCTGATTTAAGCATGGTATATAAAATCATACATTGCAATGTCCTACCTGTCAATGAATACTTCAGCTTTAACCATAACAACACAAGAGCACACAACAGATACAAACTCAAAGTAAACCGCACCAAACTTGATTGCAGGAAATACGACTTCAGCAATAGAGTGGTCAATGTCTGGAATACTCTACCCGACTCTGTAGTTTCTTCCCCAAACCCCAAAAACTTTAACCTTAGACTGTCTACTATTGACCTCACCCCTTTCCTAAGAGGTCTGTAGGGGGCGTGCATAAGCGCACCAACGTGTCTACCATCCCTGTCCTATTGTTTCTCTTATTCTTCTTTTATTTTTCTTATATGTACCCATTTCATGTATTCACAACTATGTATACACTTATACTTATTATCTTGTAAACAATTGGCAAATCAAATAAATAAATAAATAAAATAAAGATACGGCTGGCTTTGAGTGCTGAACGGGGACTGGCCCAAAGCGAGATATGTGCTGTCACTCAAACGCCAAAACAGCCTTCTCCTCCATTGCGGCCACATTATTAATAAGAGGAGATAAGAGGAGAACTTTCTGCTTTCCGTGACTCTGGGGAGCCCTCTTTGAATTTTGAGCGAAGCAGCGGCTTTGACAATCAGCGGGGGATTATTTTAACTAGGTTTCTGAGCAGAGTGTACCTGAGTGAATGGAAACGCTTTGTGGAAGAAATGAATTACAGGATGGAGCTATTGTTTTACTAATGCGGACTTCTTCTTCTCAGATGCTGTAGACCAGGGGTGTCCAACCTTGGCAACTTTAAGACTTGTGGACTTCAACTCCCAGAATTCCTCAGCCAGCTTTGCTGGCTGAGGAATTCTGGGAGTTGAAGTCCACAAGTCTTAAAGTTGCCAAGGTTGGACACCCCTGCTGTAGACATTGGCTATAGCCGGCATTGAGTTTCACTGAATTAATGTGAAATTGTTAGAGTTGGTTTTGCTGAAGAATTTGTGCAAAAAAAAATTTTTTATCAATATGAATGCTTAATGAACATTGCATTGTCTGGGTCATTTTGCTTATACAGTCCAACTGTGATGACCCAAAGGGGTGTGGCACAAAGGCAACACAGTCAGATAATCAGTAGGAGTCCCTTTATTAGCTCCGACTTTGCCCCCAATGTCCTGGTTACCTTTTGGGCTGAAGAAAAACTCTCCCAAGAACAGCCTTTGGCTGCAGAGAATCAAGTCCAAAACGTGGTCAACAAAAACTGTAACTGTAAGTCCAATCAAGGCAAAATGAGGTAATTAGTTCAGCAGGGAAAGAGAAGGAATTCCAGATGTGAAGAACACGGTTGGGAGGATGCCAGGAACACAGATAACCAAAGTACACACAAGATAAACTCACATTTGTTCCCAGCAGCTGCTGCACACAGTCTGCCTTTCTTATCAATGGTCTTCACAGCTGTGGCTAATGAAGGGAATCAGGGCCCTTTCCTCCCCCACAAGTCACGTAACCTATGTTGCTCTCTTCTCCATTTGTCCCTAGGATGAAGAGGGGGTGGGCCTGGGTCTTCCTCATAACTCCCTTGTTCTACTTCTTCCTTGCTCTGCCCAGCCAGACTTTGCCCTTCCCCAGTTTCCTCCACAGCCAACGGAGCCACACTCCCACTCCCAGTCAGCTGTTTGGCTTCCTCCTTGGATTCAGGCTCCGATAGGGGCATGACACCAAT